GCAAACTCAGGGAGGCAGTGAAGGACAGGAAGGCCTGGCGCAATATGGTTCATGGGGTCACGAAGAGTCGGACACGACTTAACGACTAAACAACAACAACAACAACAACAAAATTTAGAACAGGTTAGTGCTCATCACCTTGTGGGAAATAGCAGTGCCTGCTGTCCTCTGAGAAATGACCATCTTTGTCTTTAATTTCCTTAGAGATCTTGGAACATAATACAAACCAGGTAGCTCCTTTTTTAAAATCTATTTTTATTAGTAGATAAGAGGAGCTGCTGCTGAAGCAGGAAAAGTGGATTTAAAAGGTGGAGAACATCCTCCTCACCATATATACGTATGGCTTATATTTTCTCCTGTATTGAATATTAGATTGATATGTCATATTTCCCTACTGCCTTGAAGGCTCCGTAAGTGTCATTTATACCTCCAGAAAATCCCTATACCTAACTAGTGATTCATCCAGCTGCAGTGCTATATATAATACTGTATCAAACATTTTAAACTATCTCACTAACTTAGCTTCATTAAGTGAGCAATATAGATTGTATCTGGGTTTGTGATTTACTGCTCTCCACCTTCTGACTGGTAATGGGAAGAAAGTGAAGGATTGTATTGCTACGCTGTTTGATATGTACAAAAGCAGAGAGAGAGTTTAAATTAAAAGAGGAGGAGGAAGTAAGTCAGAGTATTATTTCTTTTAGCCATTTAAGAGACAAGAAATTGAGCTGGGAACAGATCTCAAGAGATTAATTTGGAAAAAAATTGGAAAGGTTTGAGGCTTTAAAAATCTCCTTCTTTAGCACAGGATCTCTTTTCCCATAACCTTACAGAACTATGGGTGGTCTTCCAGATGTTGATGGTCGGGGCATTCCTGAAAGTTGGTCATGTTGGCTGGAGCTACTGGAAATTGAAGATTATGGACTGTCTCTGGGAGAATGGAGGATGAAGGATAATTCCATTTATTTAGGGCAAAGATATACAACCTTTCTTTTCTGTTGAGGGCTATTTTCTCACAGAAGTAATCTGCTGGAGGTGGCACTGGTGGGCAGAGCAAGAGACAAATAGAGACATCAAACATACACACACACGCCTGCTTTCCTTTAGCCGCAAAGAAAAGGACAAATTGCTTTTGGAAAAGATCTGATCTGAGTTGATTACTTATAAAGGGCTTTTGAAATTAGGCGGAAGGCTCCAGGATTCTGAAGCTGTAGACTGCCACTTTTGATTAGGGGCATCTCTTAGTGCTTTGCATATAGAATATACTCAAATCACAATATCTGAAGGTTTGCTTCCCCCCCTCCGACCCCCATAGTTACATGGTAGGAAAGTCCCTTTTCTGAATCCTATTTAGAAAAGCCTCCTCTCTTTGCATTAGGCAGCTCCTAAATTCATATGCTTATTTCTTATGCTCCAGGGCTCTATCCAGGCTCCCCTCCAAATACTGAGTACAGATTCTGGAGCAAAGCCCTGATGAGGGTGGGTTGAACATGAAGTCCCAAACAAGCACTGAATCTTTATGTTGAAACTGAGATTCAAACCAGGGCTTGCTTGGAATGTGGGGTGGGGTGGGGGAGGGAAAGGATGCTGGGCAAAGTTTCTTGTGGTTGGCTGTGGCAGCATTCGGAGTACCAATTTCCCACAATGCCTTGAACTAATAGTGGGTTGTGGGCATTCTGGAAAATTAATACGATGACCAGACATCTTTGATGCATTTGATTGGAACATTTTTCTTCATTGACAGGAGGTAGGCATTATAAATGGGCTATTGGATATTGACCAGCCCATATTCATATCTCACCACATTCACACTTTGACTCAAGATGTCATCTGTGTTGATTCTTTATCATTAATTCAACTGAAAATTTGCCTCACTGCCCACAGACACTTTCCCATCTGCACATACACGGATGTGCAATACACTGTTGGACAGTAAATTTGATAGATTGCTGGCTGGCTAACATGCTTCTTTCTGTGCTTGGGAGAACAAGCATGCCTGAAAACAGAAAACGAAGCCTGACACTTCGGGCCTTTTTCCTATCAAGGACTTTGGAGTGCAGCTGGTAATTTATTTTCATAATAAATGCCTATATATCTTCATAAAAGGCCAGGAAGCAATGGGCATAAAACAGAGGACTATGGCAAGTTCTAGCTTTGCCCCTCCCATCCCACCTCAATTTATCAGTTCCTCTTTTGAAAGATGATACAATTTAAAGGGCTTCAAGAAATCATTTGCCAGCAAGGAAGATTGAAGCTGGAACAGCAGCCAAGAATTGTTTTCAGCGGAGTTCAGAGAGACCTGTAGGATCGGATGTGGACAGCATGCTAGAAGGAAATGCAAAGGTTAGGGGGTGTGAGGAACAGCAACAAGAGCAAGTCAGTAGCTTTGAGGTTCTGCATCTGGATTCACAGCTTGTTCTAATTCCAAGCCAGGTTTTATAGTAAACCAAATCAGACTTTCCAAACCTAGGATTGCAACAGTCCAAATTTCTACCTAACATGAACTTTGGAAGGAATGAAATTGGACAGGAGCTCCAAGGCCAGATAAGCAAGCCTCAGAAAATGTTGAAATTTGTGAACAGTTTCAGATGCATCAAAGGAATGTGGGTGCTTTCACACTACTCCATTTCAAGTCCCTAATTCTTTATAAAGCAGTGTGAAGCCAACTTGTGATTTTTACTTCTACCAATCTTAAAATTCTGAAGATTCAAGGGAATTGTATGAACCAATCAATGGAAATAAA